TGTTGCAAGATCTTTGAGCTCCTGACAAACGAGAAGTCGATTCTGCTTCTGGTCCTCAGACAGGAGCCTTGGTTTCGCATGTGGAGTTCTTCCTTTAGAATCAGCTGACAGGTCCCATAGTCTATCCCAACAATGTCGCACAAGTCGTTGATGGTACGACGTCGATCTTCGTGAATGGCCTGCCGAATCTTGGTAACATTTTCGGGCGTTGTGCTCGAAGATGGTCGTCCAGAACGCTCGTCATCATCGACAGGGGTTCGGCCCTTTTTAAAACGTGAATGCCACACAAAAGTTTGCGGACTCCCCAAATGTTTGCTTTAGCATTTCATAGGTTTCCGTAGCCGTTTTGGCGAGTCTTTGGCAAAATTTGATGCACACGCCATTCCGAAATCGCAGGAGGGTCGGTGTAATGCACTACCAAAACGCCCGTAACTAAGAACCAAATGCTAATTCGATGATGCCGGCTGGCACACTGATTCACTATGAATGTAGGCCACACCCCCTAGCGGCAGAAGCTCGTCCTACCTCCGGTTTGCCCTGTATTGACACAGTCTGGAAACTTTCTGATCGCACCTCGTACACAGGTCATTCTCATTTCAATGGTAGCCAAATGTATTTTTCTCTTCTTATGATTTGTTTTGCTTCAGTTCATATACATATTTCTTGATTCATGTGCTTTTGGAATTTCTTATTTTTAGAAATCATCCATTTTTATGCACTGACATTAATGTTTGTCTGTCTGTATGATTAAACTCAAAAATTACTGGAGGGAACTGGATGAAATTTGGTATGTGTTATGCCACTGGGGGTTACCCAAAAAAATCGTATATTTCAGTATCTTAACATGGCGGATGAACAAACTTGTGAAGTGGGATCGACACTAGAGTTTCAGGAAATTGAAAAATAAAACTTTGATTTCTTAATTATTCTTGCTCAGTTATGAAAGTTTGTGACAATGGTGCGTTGTTGAAGCAAACTGTTTTTTTTGGACATTGTCTATCGTCCAAGAATAAAGGAAATCAATAAAACCACAACGTTTCGGAGATAGATTTCCACCTCTGAAACGATGTGGTTTTATGTACTTGTACGAAGCATCCTGTGAGGTTATTGGCAGTTGAGATTCACTTACGTTTTTGGAGACGTTTGTAACCTCGTTCATTTTTCCCAGACGTACAATATTTTTGTGCATCCGTTGAACGTAGTTTACTTATTTAACATTAACCCTTTGCCGCGGAATTTTTAAATACCCCGCATTTACCGCTGTTTTGCTATGATGGCGGTGGTTTCTTTTAAATGTCCATTTAAATTTTGCTGTAAAATACTTTTTTTTCCATAACTTTTGAACTATATGAGATATAATTATGAATTTTTCACTGAAATCCTCTTAAAAGATGGTTTTGTAATCTTACCTTATAAGATGAGCTCTCTGTGTGTCCAATGGGAGCAAATGGATCAGAAGTTGAGAACGGAGTGTACAGCAGCCAGTTCTTTGCATAATAAGATCTGATTGTAGGCTTTTGCGTTTATTTTTAGACTCCCAAGTAGTCGCTAAAGGGATTTTCAACAGGGTTGCCGGATCTCCACACACAGAAAACTTTCCACAACAGAATAGTTCAAACCTCATTGCGCTATCGTTATTAATTACAAAGTTATGAGCTGCAGAAATTAACCTTACAGCCGCCCGTACAGTGCACCGACATCCTCTGATATTTTAATTTAAATGCCTAACGAATTTGTACGTTCATACGCAAGCAAAGGTTAATTTGTGTTTGTAACTTTGTTTACATTTGTTTTTGTTTCTATGAATATTATTTTTTTTTCCACCTGTGCATCATCAAATAATGTCTAAATATGTTATCATTTAACCAGAATAACTAAGAAATAATAATTGCAAAAATAAATACTTATGTTAAATTTGAAACTTTCATGGCAATTGAATGCTATAAAAGTGTTTCGGGTGATCGTGTTTGTCAACGCTGAGTTAAGAACCAACATCTCAGAGACTGGTTCTCTTTCCGTTGTTGGTTTTCAACTCGGTATTGATGCAGCTGGTCACCCAAGAGGATTTTGTGGCAAATGCTAATGTTGTAACAGAATATTGTTGCTTTTTTAAATTTGACTGTAGCACACGTGAAGTATGGACTGGTCTGCTGTAAGAGGGAGTACTAGTATGTTAAGTGGTTAATTTCATATTCATTTGAATTTACTTGCTATAGTGTACATAGTTGTGATGGGTATTATTGTATAGTATTCAGAAATTACTGTCGTAGCAATGCAACCATCACATAATAAATCCATGCGAAAGTTATGTAGCATTTGAGGTTTTCACAGTGGTGAGTTTGAAAATTGCCGTCTTCCGGGTTGTTACTCCGTGTAGTCTAGTAGAAGTTTATCGACGTCTCAGAAGTCCTTGCTGCTTCCATCATCAGGGCGTATTCATCGCTCTGATGATGGAAGCAGCAAGGACCTGTGAAACGTCGATAAACTTCTACCAGACTACACGGCGCAACATCCCAGAAGACGGCAGTCTCCATGCTAAAGTTAGTTTTAGAGCCAAGATACTTTTCTTTTGCCCTTGAATATAAGTAATGTAATTAAATTGATTGTGGGAGTGACTATGGGAGATAACATTGCAACAAAATAATCTGGAAAGGTCGGCCATTAATGATTTGCTGCACAGCATTTGAGGGGTTAATATAGAAACGATAAAGCTGTGCCATGTAGGCGCTTTGGGGGAGAGGAGGTATAGCTTCTACCTATTCTTAACCTTGTCAGATGATAGGGGTGAATTATCAGCATTACCCCAGGAAAAGACCCTGGTACTCACTGAACAGGAAGCTGGGTAGGCCTCAAATTCAGTCTGGATGTAGACGCTAGAGGAAAAATCCTCTGCCTGTGTCAGGGATCAAATTTTGGTCATCCATTCTGTGGTTAGTCACGATACTGACTGAGCTACCGTGGCTCCGAAGGGTTATTAATACGAATCGTTTTATTAAATCTTATCTCAATTGTGAAGACGACAGTGGATTAATATTTGAGATTTTGTTTTAGAGAATGCCATAGTATTATCTGATTATTACCACAGAATTTGCAGCAGAAGTGGAAAACGTCTAGATATTTATTTCTTTCGTTATACAGAAGGATCAAGTTTCAGTAACCCAGAAAGTTACACATCTGTTCGAGTGATTGCATCACCGAACTTGAATCAGGACCAGTTGTGGAGGCTGTTTGACCTCGTCCCTGGTTTGGATTTCCTTCATCTCGACACCAAGTCCAGACTCGTATGTACTGCGTTAACTTATTGACATGTTTTTTTATACAGTACGTCTCTGTTGTTTATGAAATAACATTTTTCAGATTAAATAGTTTTAATATCCTGTTTTGTTTGTTTGACCACATTGCTCTTATTGTATTCTGTGACAGTATTGGTTTCTGTCCTGAGCTCGGACATTGTTTAGTGTGTTACTCCTAAGTTTAGTTTCCTTCTGGATAATGCATTTAGAATTTCCTGATGATGAATTCAAAGCTTATACTTACAGATTTATTCAGTCCTTCTAAGCAAGTGCTTCCTCATCAAACTGCGTTGTTTGTTCAGGGCAAGGGACAGGCAGTTGCTGTGTACAACAGCCCACAGGCAGCTTTATATGCCAAGGAGAAACTGCACGGATTTGAGTATCCACCAGGACAACGACTGATTGTGAAGCCTGATGTAAACGTACATGCTGATTTGCCTATGTAAGTGGCTGAATTATAATCGTGTCGTTCGTATGTTTAAATGTTACCTGTCGCGGATAATGCAGTGGCACATTTGCTGTGGCTTTGAGTTCTCTACTCAAGCGAGTACTGCACAGCTCAGATTCATGTCTCACGCCTTATTTCTGTCTTAAAATCTGGTAAAGTAAAAAGTAAAGCTGTCGTGCTATACGCCATGTAGATGCTTGGGGAGGAGAGGAGGTAAAGATCATACTCGTTCTTCACCTCGGTACTAGATGGGGGTGAGTGGTCAGCATCACGCCCTGACCAGTGGGTGGACCCCATAGCCAGTCTGGACACGGTTCTAAAATCAAGTAGAATTGTAATTTTAATTCAGGAATGGGGGGAAAAGTGTAATGAAGTACAGTTTTTCTTTCATATTTTTATGGTCTCTTAAGTTTAACCCTGTGATGATTATGAATGCACCAGCACATTTAATATAGGGTGTGGCATTGAATATGATTGTACATGAATGTTTTCCATTTTGTGTCATGCAGCGTGAATGTACAGAAAATTTTGCCTTTTTGAGGACTGAGGAATATTGGAGACTGATTGTACTAAGATTTTTTTTTCTCGTTATTATATTTCTTACGTGTCACCGGCACGAGTTATGACAAATTGTTAGCCTAAGCACTGATCGCAAATTGCTTATAGAAATTAGGGTCTGCTATTACTTAACCCTTTACGGTCCCTTTTAAATACCACTACGGCTCTCTGCTGGTCTATTTAAATGCCACTAAGCTATGTAAATTCAACTACTGTTATGAACTGATTTTCTTTTTCTTTTATGACTTGCATAAAGTGGAAGAAACTTTGCTAAATATGGTGAAAATATGTGTTGAAAGGATCATAGTTGCTACTGGTTAAATACTGACTGTGTGAAATATTTTTCACGGACTGTACCACTGTCGCTAATGAGATGCGTAATAAGTGGTGTCTTCCTGCTTCCTGTCATTCCGTAGAGAATAAAGCAAGTCCAAGTCGATAGATTAGACTTTCGAAATGACTAAACATCTCTTGTTACATGCAGACATATGATGTATAAGCATTGAATTTCATAATCTCAGAGCTATGCTTCCTGTCGAGCTGATTGTGTTCAAAAGCTCAAGATCAAGTCCAGCACCGTAAATTTGAAACAGAATGCGAAGTGTAAACAATGAAATCACTGCACATAAAGAATGCTTGATAAGAAGACAAAAGAATAAGAACATGTCAGTGGTAGATAGCTCTATGTGCAAAAAATAATTTAAAAAATATAATTTCCTATTACGAAGATGGATTATTTGTTTTATAACTTTATCAGATATAAGATACTTCTATTCTAAGTAAATATGACAGCATCACACCCGATGGTATTGCTTCACTATATGATGTATGGCAGAAAATTGGTGTGGAATCCTTCTTTGGACACGTGTCGGAATAAGACGACCTTTCTCTCTTGCCTCCTTTCACTGATATTAGGTACACAAAGTCTTACCAGGAAAACTAGGATTGAACTTGTGCAAAGAAGAAGGCTGGAATGATATGCTGACACTGTTTGTCAGCCTCAGTTTGACTCCAGATCACGTAAAAAAAATCGTAAAATACGTGGCAGACTGAGTCCGACATCGGACCGGAACTCGGATATTTAAATGTCGGACTCGGTCCGACAGAGACTACAAAGGGCTAAGAGAGAGCTTGGCCCTAGTGAGAGTTAATGCTGGGAAAATTTCTGGGTGGTAAAACCTCAGGGTTGGCAGGCCTGAGATTGAAGAGGCTTGTGGGATGGAGTGCGGGGGTTTCTTCATGGTTTGCAGCCTTTGAAGGTGATTTAGCCCTCTAGTTGGACAAGCTTTTGTGTTGCTGTCTCCTGGGTGGCTCCAGGTAGTCTAACTTACGATGGTGTAGCCCAGTGGTATGATGAGGGTTTATAATGGAAGGAAAGATAATTACTGGTGATGTTCTTAGGTTTGTTAAACATTGTTTCTCAAAGGCTTAGTAATTTGTCTGAAGGAAGATTGCTGTCATTTGGGTTGTTGCACAATGTAGTCAGGTAGATGTTTACCGATGATTCATCACCCTGATGATGGAGGCAGCAAGGACCTCTGAAACGTCTGTAAACATCTAAAAGACTACGCACCGCATCAGCCCAGAAAACAGCAATCTTCAGACTCACTGTTGTGAAAACCTCAAGTCCTACATGATCTGAAGGAGCTGATTTCATAGTTATGTAAAAAAAAAAATCATTCTCTACCACTTTACTGATTATATGTGTATTTATTTTGTAGACCGTATGTTTCCAGAGGGAATCCAGTGGGGAGGGATCCATATGTTGGTGCGACTTCTCCCCGGCTGCCCTCCAGCGCAGGGCCTCCCCCAACTACAGCTCGTAATTCGGGCCTTCAGACAGACCTTGTGACTCTTGCTGAAACTATTGCACAGGCCACATCCATAATTCAGGCAGCTGGTCTCACCCAAGGTAGTGTTAGCAGTAAGTCTTTTGATCATCTGGCCTCTCTCTAGTTAGCAGGGATGAAGAAATCCACTTCTGAGCTGTCATTTTGTAACATCCATTGAAAGGATAAGTCATCCAATAGTCTCAACCAGTCAGAATCCAATATTCTAATTTTCTCGCTACGGCCCCAGGCATTTTGGCTGCTCTAAATCGGTGTAACGAGAGTCAGAAATTAGCCATTAATCATCAAGACGAGCAGCTGGGAAGCCTTTACCAACCAAGCGTGCTGTGCATCATAATCGGCGTCTGTGAGTATTGTTGGTTTTGCTGTCACTAGTTACTTCGAATTCACAATTGTATAAAGAGATTTGAGTACTGGTTCTATTCAGGTTTAGGTAATGGGGTTCATACTTGTATTCATTAGGTTTACAAACTTTATAATCTGTCTCGATTTGCTTAATTAACTTTGTTACAATATATCAATATATTACTGAAGTAAGAGTTTTTGAATTAACGCGGCAACCCCTTCGTCTCCAGTCTCCTCCAGCGTCAGTGCCTCCCAGGTGTGTGTTCAATACCGATGACAAGATGATGGCTGGCAGAGGAGACTTGGCATTAACTCCTCACCGCCGAGAGGCGTAGTATTTTATATCTTTTTTTTTTTATATCTTAATTGCGTCATGTTTGTGTTTTATTGATACAATAATTTATTTACCGTCAATGTAACAAGATACAGTATCTAATGAGAAATGTTATAATTTTAAGTAATTTTAAACAACATTATTTTAAGTTTGTGTATAGACGGTAAATAAATTATTGTAGCGTAGTATTATGTTCGGCATTTAAATTCTCCCGTTTGCGGCCGGGCGTAATATTACGTCCGGCTTTAAGCCTAATTTCTTCCGCTCATAACTTTGTAACGAATAATGCCAGTGCAATGAGGTTTGTAGTACTCTGTTGTGGAAAGTTTTCTGTGTGTGAAGATCCGGCAACCCTGTTGAATATCCCTTCAGCGACTACCTGGGAGTCTAAAAATAAACGACTGGCCTCAGTGTTGCAATGGAGAACCCTTCAAGCAGTCGTGTGTTATTTGATGCTGAACAAAGGGCACTTCTAGACGAATTATTGGAAGTGACAATTATAGTAGCTCGGACACTGAGAGTGTAGACTTTGA